TAAAACATTCAAAACAAGAGTGTCTGGTCTTACAGTTTATAACGTGTGATTAAAAAAATTTCCAGATTGGCTGTAAGGTGACACTACTAGTCTGTAAAAATTTCTCCTTAATGAAGGCATAATACAATCTGTTGAATCGTTTTCCATTTTTAAAAATATAAGATGCATAATTTAAAAATAATGTGTTACGTGCTATCAGCCACCTGGTAAGTCACAGGTTTAACATTACTCTGTTAAGAGAAAAATTGTGTAGCTGAAAGCACAGGAGTTTCACGGACGCTTACCAACAAAGGCAGAAACACTGAATTTTCCGTAACAGGTCACAAGAGAACTACTTTTAACAGGACACCATGAAATGAGCATTTAATGTATTTTATAAAAAGAGCATAAATTTTGTTAAATAACCTGTGCAATAACAGAAACATCTGGAGCACAGCGCCCCAGCAAATCCACCAAAGTACAGTAGAAGTTCAGAATGGCAGATCCAGTGTCAATGTAGTCTTCATCTTCATCGCTCTCAGGCAGTGGATGTTCAAACTGTAATATGGACATCGTTCCTTCTGCTTCATCCATCAGCTTCCTCCTATCAGCAATGCGCTCTGACATCTGGAATGACAGAAACTCGCCGATTACCAAAAGAACCACAATACCAACAAAATATAAAACAAATCTGATACTTCTCTTTCATAAACATTCTCAATGTAAACATATTGATTCACTCAAGGGGAGTGATATTTCAAGCATGTACACACATACAAAACAGTCGTCATTATATTTAATAGGCCCTATTAACTCCTGGATATTCATGTTTAAAAAATGTATAAATTCTGGTTTGTAACATCCAAAAGTAATTTCAATCAAATGTCAAGTATCTTCAGAATACAACAGATTTAAACAGCTATATTACTAGTTAAAGGGCGTTAAAGACTGTTAATGTATTGACACTGACTGCTGTATATGTGCTTGATATGATGAACTTATGAGCAAACCTTATTTGCTTCCATGACAGCTCTCAG